CGGCGGCGCTGGCGGGTGCCCCCGGGCTCTGGAGCGTTGGCCTCCGGCCGGGCTGGTCCCTGCACCGCGGTGGCAGAGACGACGGGAAGAGCCAGTGCGCTCGGCGGCACGGGAACCGGTGTACCTGCTCCCAGGTAGCGGGCGCGTCCGTGGAAGCAAGGGAGACGTGTACGGACAGTTAAGTATCCCTGTGGTTGAGTCGGAGGGAGAGGGAACGTGGAGGGCGAAGACCCCACAAAAATCGTGCTTACTGTGATTAATACAAAACCCATAAGCATTATCTTCCATCTTTAATGGCTGATTCTGTAGAAGATCTGGGAGTCCTAAGCAGCTCGGTAAGCTTTGCAGAACGGGTGAACGTGTTTCCGTTACTCCTCTAACACTTACTGTTGGACGCTGTTCCTTTCCAGCTTTGTTAAGGCATAAACTGTAAAGCTAAAGTCACTAGATGGTGTCCAGCTCTGTATGTGGAGCCTAGTCTGCTCCTCAAAGCTCTGAGCATCACTTTGAAGGACTCGGCATCTCATCAGGGAGTGTGAATGTGGAGAAACTGCTGAACAACTTCTGTATGGGTTTGTTTTGTTTTTTCCCCTAGTGACTATCACAAGAAACAGAATGCCCTCAGAGCACTTCAAAAGAAAGCTCTGGACAAGAATCCTGATGAGTTCTACTTTAAAATGATACGTGCAGAGCTCCAGGTGAGAATCTAAATTGCCTTCAAGCAGGGTTACACTCTGTTGCTCTAAGTAACATAATTTTTCTACCTTGTTTTTAATTTATGAATTAGTAAATAAATTAGCAGACTTGGCTTGGTGCCTTTGGAAAGCTTTGAAGAAATTGAGGGGCAAAGGACAAAAAAGGTTCTTTTGCTTTGATTATTAGGACCCATAGTACACTATAGCTGGAATGGTATCTGTCTGTAAGTGCTATTTTCCATCTGGTTTTAGGATGGAGTTCATACAATAAAGCAGCCAAAGGATGAAGTGACCCCCGAACAGGTGAAACTGATGAGGACACAGGATATTAAATATGTGGAAATGAAAAGAGTGGCAGAAGCCAAGGTAATGCTTCTCTTTTTCACTGTTTTCTAGTTTGCTCAGAATTGTTCTTTTTATTGTGGTTTTTTTTGTTGGTTTTGGCTATTATGTTTATTTTTAGTGAAATCTGATTTGTGCAATACTGGAAATGATAGATGGGAGTGTCAGTGGAGCTCTGTATATAGAACCTAAAGGTATACTGAATAATAAAAACTGCACTGTGCATTATTATAAAACATGGCCATTTCTTATGTAAGTTTCAGACATTAAACATGTACTCTTGCTTCTCATATTCATAAAGAATTGAGGATTATTGTTACTGAAGTGGGTTGTTTAAATTTGGTAGGCAGGCAATCAACAGAAATATGACCCACTTCTGAAAATGTTTTATGCTCTGATGTTGATCCACACACCGTCACTGTAGATAAAAAAATTAAAGTCAGCTTTGAATTTTCATCCACGCTTTTGCTAGTAATTTCATGGTAATCATTCCTACTTTGTCTGCCATACAGATAACTTACTGTTCTGAAAATTGATTTGTATGTGTTTGGCTGAGTAATACAGGAAATTACTGTTAACCTCTACGCAAAAAGGTTATGAAGACATGACATAAATATAGACTAGATGTATTTTCAAAGATTTAAAAAAAAAAAAAGGAAGAGTTCAGATGCTTGAGAAACAAACAGGAGTTTACTTCAGGGAGACATTACTGACAGATGTTTGCCAAAACAGATTTAATTTTTCTTTCCTGCAGAAAATCGAGAGGCTGAAGTCGGAGCTCCATCTGCTGGATGCTGAGGGGAAGAAACCCAACAAGCACGTGTTCTTTTTCGATACCAAAAAAGAAGGTAAACTTTAAATAGGTTTTATCAGAAAACTTGTTCCATGATGTTTTATTGTAGGCTGTTTAAAATAGTATGGTGCTTTCTTTATGCTGTTATAATTAAAAAAAGGTGGGGTTTTTTTTCAGGAATAATAATTCAGGTGCTCTAGAAATCTCTTTTGATTACTAGATTAAGACCTCAGTTCTGCAGAAGCTATGTTGCTGGGGCTTCCATTGCTGACTGTACTTAAGCTACATGTTTGGAAGGTTTGCTGAGCATTAGTTCAAGAAGTCCATATAAGTTTATTCCTAAATTTCTTTTTATTTGTAGTTCAGGAGTTTGATATTGCAACTCATCTGGATACTGTTCCAGAGCTTGTAGACAGGGTGTACAACCGACCGACCATTGCAACGTTGGAGAAAGAGACGCTGAAAGGAGCTACTGATCCTGCCCACTTAAAGGTAGTTTGTCCTGCGACTATTGGTATTATAGTTTTCTTAATGTTTTACATCTTTCACATAATAAGCACTAAAGAGGATTCGTTGGACCATTGTGGAGGAGAACAAAGTTGTTTTGTTGTCTTAGAATTTTTATTGGTGACACAAGGCTGCAGTGGATGTCACTTAATCATCAAGTGCCTGGAGCCTATAGTCAAATCTTCTCCTGGATTGACATGGAGAATTTGTTCTGTTGTATTCCAGTCCACTGTGGATTATAAACCAAGAGTTGTGACGTATGGGCCAGAAAGGAATGCTGTAGATATGATTAGGCAGTTTCCTTGGCAAAATTGATATATTTTTTCTCCATTATGTGACATACATCTATGGGACTATCTTTTCAATAGATTGCTGCAGTTTTAAGTGTGATTTTTGCAGCATCCACTGTTAAGTCTCCCTTCACACCTCCCCCAAAACCCTTGCATACCTGAATAGCGATGTGAAGAAGCTTATTCCAACATAGATATTTGTGTTGTTGGGTTTCTGATCTTCTGAAGTTGCTTGAGATTCAGGATTTGTCATCCCTTTTTTCTTCTTAAAGGCGTTTAAGCTATAGTCTCGTTTCCTGACTTTCCCAATTTAAAGTGTTTCATGATCCTTCAGGATGAATTGCTTACACAATCAACTTTGATTCTGATGTTTTAATATCACAGCACTTCTGTCCTAGAAGTAGCTACACATGGCTTTAACGCTGTAAATAGCGCTTAATTAGTTTAGATATATTGGGCAGTCTTACAAGCTTGAGTTAGTATATGTAAGGTAAAAACAAAGTTGTCTAAAATTGCCGATTGGTAAATTTGTAACCTGTTGTTTTCTGAATCAGATGTCAGATAACAAACACCCTGTGGTCCCTTTCTTCTTGCCAGCTTTCTCAGTTTGGCTTGTCAGTAAAGCAGTTGGACAAGTTGTAGACTGACAAGTTTTCTCCTCTAAATCTCTGAGTCATATTTTAAGCCTGTTGGGATCTGTTCTCCTTAATTTAATTACTTAAATCACACCTGCAGTAATACCATTTTTGTGGTGGGAAAGCCATCCATGCTTAGTAAGTAAACGTGACCAAACAAGTTGCATTTTGGGAGGCCTCTGTGCAATTTCGAAGCACTTCAGGAATTGGTCTCTGGTCTCTTTTTTTTTTTTTTTTTTTTCCTTCCCCCCCCCAGATAAATTGGGTTTTTGTTAGGGAGTTAAATGTTACCTTGCACTCAACATTGAAATTAAGAGGATTTGGAAAAATGAAATTCCAGGCACGTACTGAACAAGGTTATGCAGCATCTAAACTAGGTTAGAAGAGGTTTGGTTTTTTATGTTTGGATTTAGGAGATTAAAACAAGCACAAAGAATTAAGTCCTAACTAGAAAACCTCTAGTATGAGAATCAAGATGTTAAAACAGTTCTCTGGAATCTAGCCACAGAATTGAAGCAGCATTCTTTAGTATGATTATGACTTGAAAATGTAAAAAATGTTTGTGAGGTCCAAGTGCCTCAGAATAGGTCAGTTGTAGGCCATAGTGTCTTGTTCCTCTCTCTGTCTTAAAAAAACTTTTTTTTTTCCCCCCCCCTGCAGAAATTAGCCCAGCAAAGGAAGAATCAATATGATCTCCTGAAGCAGCGCATTGAAAGAGAAAAGGCCATGTTTGTTATTGCACAGAAAATCCAGACACGTAAAGATCTTTTGGTGAGGGATTTAGTTCTGGTTCTTTGAATCTGTTCTGTTAAGGTCATTAGGTCTAGTTTTGTATGTATGCATTTCTTCACTCTGATTTTATACTGACACTTCCCAATAACTCCTAAATGTAAGTAATCCTCTTTTAGTATGGAAAAAGCAAGGAGATGAAGCATTCCAGTTGTGCCATGGCTAGTAAATCATACCTGCTAGTCTAACTCTTACCATGTCAGCAAGGACAAAGACTCAACTTTGAAGCGGAGCTCACAAGTCTTTTCTAAAATACTGTTGCCAGCTTTCAAGTACTGAATTAATATTTTCAAGTAGCGAGACAAGGAACCGTTTCTGTAGGTTACAAGATCTTAAAAATCCCAATGATCAAAAAATTATTTGTCTCAATGGGACTCGCCATTCACTGATGCTTGTGAACAAAACAGATTGTACCTGACAACCTAAAGGTGGAAAGACCAGACAGAAATATAATTCCCACCTAAACAGTGGAAAGTGACCATTTTTCACTAATGCCTTATCAGACCTAGCCAGGGACTTTCTTATTTATATGAGGGTGGGTTTGTTTTTTGTTTTTTTTTTCCTTCATAGATGCCAGCAACTATTTCTTGTTCTTTTTTCTAGGACAAAACTCACAAAGTAAAGGTGAAGAAAGAGACAACAAACAGTCCAGCTATTTACAAATTCAAATTTCAACGGAAACGTTAGCTGTTCCATTAAGTAATTGTTACCATCCTTGCTTAGAAACAGGGTTGTCCTTATGAAGGAGGAGTGATACACCATATCAGTTTGTTTTTCACTGCAGCCTAGCACTTTGTTAAAACAAATTACTGTGGGCCTGTGGTAGCCATAAATATATTGTATCTAATTAATTGATTAATAAATCAGAGAGTTTGTTCTCTTGGTATTTACAGTGGGAAGCCACAAGAGGTGCCTGAATGTCCTAGTAATACGCACCATAAACAATCCTTGAAAAGTCAAGGTCAAAATCCAGCAGCTGGGTGCTGGGTTGCACACAGCACATGGACAGACAAGGTGCTCTGGGAGTGTTAGTTCAGCTCTGTGACTGGTGACCGTGACACATCCAAAACTGTAAGAGATTTCAAGTCATCTTTTTTAGGTATCTTTTCAAGCGGGTTAAAGTTGAATTATTATCTTTCTAATCACCCCCCCCCCCCAATCCCTCTTTAATTTTCCCGTTCTGCTTTATCTGCACAAAGTATTTCACTTCAAAATGTAAGAGGTGAAAGGCATTGCTAAGGGCGCATTGCTAAATTGAGGCACCATATTAGCCAAAGACTATCCTGTCTTCTGCACAATGGGTAGTGCCCGTGCCGTGCCGAATTTCCAGTGTTGCTTCCCAGGTTCCAACAGAGGCGATACTGAAGTTCACATATAGGGAGAAACAATCCAGAAGCCAACTGTGGGACAAAAGCTTGTCCTCTTTGTTTAGAGCGTGCTGGTTGCAATGTTGGTAGTTGGAAGGGGGAACAATGAAGACACATCCTTGAGTGTCCTGGAGCAGTTCGGGCAAGTTAAGAGAGCCTGGGCGTAAACATTCCTTTTCTTATCTCTCTCACTTGTGCTATGTCTGCCAACAAGCAGCACATGCCCATGCAAGATGGTGGGAAAAAAAAAAAAAAAAAAAAAGATGCTCTTCTCAAGCTCTTCCCGCTTTGGGAGTTTTCCTGGCTTCTCTTGGATGAAACATGACATTTTACATGCTCAAATGCAGCTTCAGCCATTGTTTCTGCCATTGCAGAGATTCCCAGCTTGGCAACAGCTGCGGGGTGAATTTTTTTCTGGGAAGCATTAAGGGAGGCAGCAGGCTTTGCTCTTAAAAGCAGTTGAGATGCTCTCTGGTGCAGTTTGGCCGTTTCAGCGTTCAGGGCACACCGTGAACCACCCGCCGCTAGGCGCCCGGGAGTGGAAATGAAACGCGCCTCCCGGGAGGGCGTTTCTCCTTCCTCACCGGAGAACAGCGGCACGACGGAAGGCTGCACCGCTTTTTTCCCCCATGAAAGCGGCTTCCCCGCCGCCGGCAGAAGCGGCGAGAAGCGGCGGTGAGCGCCCCGGTCCCCCGGGGAGGCCGCTGGCCGGGCCCGGCCGGCAGAGGGCAGCAGCGCCCCGCGGCGGGGCG